ACATGAAAAAGGGGGCAAAGTAATGGTTATAAATTCTTTATTGTCAATTATGATAGTAACTAAAAGTGGATAAACAATGATTAAAAGGCAGCTTGGCATGATAAAAGAGAAATATCAAAGCATAGGCTATTTGTTACAAAAGCCAGACTTTAAATTTAAAAACGTAAGTAGTTTGAGAGTAAAAACGGTAGAAGATTGACTACGTAACTAGTTGCAAAAAAAAAGAAAGCAAAAATAAAGAAAATTGGAATAACTATTTTAAATCAGACAAAATATAGAAGAGCATGTTGGTGCACACCTGTAATCCCAGCTCTCAGTAGGTTACAGCAGGAATTTTGTAAATTCAGTGCCAAGCTTAGCAAGAGAACAAGACACTATTTAAAAAAAAATCAACGAGTCAAAATAAATTTTAAAAATTGGATCAAATTTATCGTTAAAAATGTTATTAGTAAAAAAGAAGGTTATATGATGTTAAAACAGATTCTCCACTGAAAACTGGTAACAATTATACATATAGATACATATCCCCAGACATCAAAGTACATTAAACAAAAACGTATAGATTTTCAAGGAACTATATAATTCAATAATAATAATAATTGTAGTATTTAGTATCATAACTTCTTTTTTAATACATATAAGTTATATATGGTTTGATGAGCATGTTCTACCCCTCACCCTGTTCCACTGGTCACCTTTTCCTGTTTGTTCCCTTTTCCCCTAAATATCTCACTTCTACTGTCATTTAATAACTACATACATGAATCCAATAATAGATATGTTGTTATGAAGGCTCAACCAGGAAATGAGTTGATTTGAACACCTCTATAAATGAACAAGTGTCTTTAATGTACTTCTATAAGAAGAGGATATACATTTTTCTATATTGAGTACATATTTATAAAATAAGTCTCAGTATATTTGTAAAATTCACATTTCAGAAAGTATGTCCTCTAACAATTGAATTAAATTAGAAATCGGCCACAAGAAGAACTTTGAAGAGTTAAGCAAATAAGACAGGATGCTTTAAAACACCTTTGGGGAATCTTCCTGTTGTTTAGTGTCTTCTAAAATGCGTTTATTCCATATTTTAAAATTGTCATCATAGATGTCTTTTACTCCCTTTGTTTGGTTTAGTTGAAAAAAATTTTAAGCTGTGATAAATGTGATGGAATTAAAAAGTTTCTAAACATCAACAGCAAAGAAAACAATTCAGTAATGAGACAATTCATGAATAGAAGAAAATCTTTGACAGCTACACAGAGGATTAAAATCTAGAATACACAAAGAACTAAAAAAAACAAATCTAAATTCCACTCAGTAAATGGGACAATGTCACAATCAGAAAGCTTTCAAAAGATGAAGTACAAATGATCAATGAACACATGAATGAAATGTTCAAAATCCTTAGCTATCAAAAAAAAATACAACAGCATTGAGATTCCATCTCCCTCCTGCCAGAAAGGTTATCATCAAGAAAATAAATAACAAATGCAAATTTTAATTGTTCTAGCCCTATGGAAATCAATATGGAAGCTCCTCTGTAAACTAAAACTAGGACTGGCATATGGCCCAAATACATCACTTCTAGGTATATGCCCAAAGTGTCTAAGTCAACATACCACAAAGATGTTGTCACCTGTATATTTATTGCTACACTATCCACAGTAGGCAAGTTACAGAATCATCTTAAGTGTTCATCAACAGATGAACTGATAACAAATTGTGCTGGACATGCACAGTGGGGTATATTTTACCATGAAGAAGAATTAAATTGTAACATTTGCCAAAAGACAGACACAGCTGAAAGACATGACAATATTACACGTTTTTATTGCTCAGTTATTTGTGGATCCTAGAATTTCACACAGATATGTAAAACTATACATATATATATATGTGTGTGTGATATATTATATTCAACATATGTATATTATATATGTATTTATATAGAAGCAAGAGTTGGGGAATGAATGGGAACAATAGGAAAGGTGAGGAAAGGGAAAGAAAGTGAATGTATTCAAAGTACATGATATAGTCTATGAAGTGAAGCCCATCACTATGCAAAATGAACATATGTCAATAAAAATTCCCATTAAAATATTATAGGAATTTTAAATTTTAAAATATAATCAGAGTTTAAATGAAAAATTTTTAATATGGAATAAGCATATGTTGCTGTGGAGATTTATGAAAATGCCTTCGATTCTGATCATTTCCCCAGTGATATTAATGAAGAAACATTTATATAGGATTTTGAAGTATGTTTTGGAAGAAAACATTCCCCAACCATCATTAGTCACCATATTCCTCTATTTTAATTCTGACCCTTGTAATAAGAGCCACTTGTAAACATGTCTTTAAACTTTTTACTCAATTAATGAAAAAATATCATGCTAACTGGCAGCTCAAAGGAAGTTCCAAATAATCATAACCTAAATTAGACTTTAGTCAAAAGCCAAATGTTTCTACTAGTCCAGTAAGACACTCCTTTGCTATCTGAAGATTCTGAACCTTTTTAAATAAATGAATGTTTAGTCTGAACATCTTGTTCTGATGACTGAGAATTACAGCAATAAATGATTTCACTTCTGCTCCTAGTCACCTTGTTATCTCTTAGATCACACTAGTCCAACAAGCACAGAAATAACTTCAATTACATATGAATTGCAATAAGTACAATAATTAAAGCATAAAAATATAGTGATTTAGGCTAGGTCTGGAAGCACATGCCTCTAATGCCAACATTTTGGAAACAGGGGTAGGCACTCTGTGTGAGTTTAAGGCCTGACTCCTCTACAAAGGAAGTTCCAAGCTAGCCTGGGTTACATAGATATATGAGACATGTATATGTAGAATATATGTGGAAAGAGAGAGAGAGAGAGAGAGAGAGAGAGAGAGAGAGAGAGAGAGAGAGAGAGAGAGAGAGAGAGAGAATTACATCTAAATTTGCACTGGTTCTCAACCTCAGGTTAGTACCACCATAGAAGTTTTGAGAAAACTTCATGACCAGACTTCAACCAAATAAATCAGGATGCCTCATATGTCATGACTTTCTAGTCTCCCTAGAGGAGTTCACTGTGTAGCCATGTTTGAAAACTATGTTATGAAAGATCAGGAAGGCTATAAAAGAATAGGCAAGCTTTTGGTTCAAAGGGACAGAGAATGGCACTTGGAAAAATCTTCTCCTAAATATATCTAATTTATTTTTACTCTCCAAACCTCAGGTTAATTATCATATTCTCTGAAGAGCATTTTTGGACTCTCCCAATGATATCCATAAGAATCCTAATAATAGTAATATAAGTTATCACTATTTTATATACCTTGATATATTCCAGATGCCATAACAAGCACTTTAATTATGTTTTAACATTATCCTTCAGACACTAGGAGTCAAGTAGTAGTAGTAGTATTTCATTTTACATTTGGTAAGTAAATAACTTGTCAAGGTAACACAACTAAAAGCTGGTGGAGTTGGCAGTACAGCTACCAAATCTATGTGCTGAAACATGACCTACTGATCCTATGTAGCTCAGGTATATATCAATACTGTGAAGCACATTACATTATAATGCTTTTGTGATTTTTCATTCACTACCCATTTGCTCATTCAATTGACAGGTGTTGAGTTTATTCTCAATGTACTCGATGGTGGAAATATGAAGTCTGGGAATTAGTAGTGTAGAGCACACATCAACAAATAAGTTGACTGGCCACCTTCTTTTTATATTAAAGTTTTTGTTGAGTCAAAACCATGGTCACTGGTCGACTGGTGTGATAGCTGTAGTGACCTTCATGTCACAAGATTGTCGCAGGGTAGTTCTGACAAACAACCTGGCTACAAGGCTTTAAAATGTGATTTATAGGAAGTTTGACAGCCCATAGTCTAGAGAACAAGACAAGTGAATCACTAGTGACTACCTAACGATATGCATGCTGTGGGACTTACACCGCAGGAACATAAATAAGAAATACATATCTAAGGGTAGGATGGAGGGCAACCAGTTCCTATAAGGCACGGCATTGGAAAGCTGGATAGAGTTACCTAGATAAAAAGGAGCAACCAGATCAGTAAGATCCTGTGGGCAGTGAGGCAATGAACTAGAGTAATTGTTAAAAAAGAAAATAAATAAAGTAGATAGGTTTAAATGATGCTAATTAGTTTTATGCCCCTCATGAAAATGTAGTTTTGACTTTTTTTTCACTTTTATCATTTTATTGGAGAGGGATATATGGGCAGGTTCTTGTTATGTGGTCCAGATTGTCCTTAAAGTCATGATCGACCTGTCTCAATGTGCTGGGATCATAAATATGCACTACCATGATCAGCTAACAGATTTACTGACTCTCGTTAGAACATCTAGTGATGCACACGGCAAAATGCATTCCTAGGGACTGGAAGTTCTGGTATGTTATCACAAAGTCAGATGACTAAGGCTAATAATTATGTCCTGTACATTTCAAAGAGCTAATAGATAGGTTTTTTACATTTTTCACCATAAGAAAAAATTAAATAATTGAGACTCTAGAGGTCTGTAGCTTGATTTAAATATTATGTATACATTCATGAATGAAAATATCACATTCCTTCATTAATATTGTGTTTATGTTGCTATGTATCATTCAAAAATAATTTTACTTTAAAGACACACCAAACACTTGTAAACAGTCATTTGTTAACTAAAGTGCCTAGTTCCCATATAAAAAGGCCTTTTGTAGTTCTTGAATTGATTGACCTATAAAAATTCTATCTTTTTCAACCCACCCAACTACACAGCCTATCCCAGGCAGTTATCACCATTGCAGACTTGCAATCCCAGGCAGGATAATCTTGAGGTCAAGGCCAGTCTGGTTTAGTTAGTGAGAACCTGTCTCAAAACCACAGCAGCAGCAACAACACCAAAAGCAGTATGAAAGTTGTCATTTTTCTTTGTTTTCAATTGTTTTGATTACATATGACTATTAATAATTTGTGAAGTGGTTACAATCAACTGTACCTGGAAAATTCATGGGCAATTCAAAGGGCTTCTGGGATGCCGAATCTCTAGTATTATCTTCACAAATTTCAGCCATGATCTTCTTAATTTTGAGACCTGTGATTTTAATCACTTCTCCTGTTGACAAACAGCATTCGTTGCCAAACATTTCATAAATAGACCCTGAAAAGAAAGAAAATAATCTTTTTTTTAAAAGGTTAAACAGTGAAAAACAAAATCCATGTCAAGAGCCTCTCATAAAATGTCTTCACTCAATTCTTCCCTTAGCCACCTAATAAACAGGAATTAAATCTGACTCTCCCAAAATGTACACCATGTACCATGAAACATTGGATTTTCACTTTATCCACTGGGCAAAGTATAAACAATCTTATTTTTCATTATTTTAAATGAATTTATAGTTTGCTCATCACCTTTATCTCATTTATCCAAGGTCAAACCACACGCAGGTCTCCCGCTGCCGGGATTTATGGCACATTTTTTCCAGGTCACAGAATTAGGCCTATATGAGTCAACAGCAATTTGAGTAAGTACTGCAAACAGGGCTATGATACAATCCAAGACCCAAAGACAGACAGGCTTGTGCACCAGGGCTTCATACTAACAGCTCCCTACTGATTTTTCAGATCTGGTTCACTTCATCATCGTGAATTTAAGTCTCCTTAGCCATTTTTATCTGTTGCTTTTTGACAAGCTGGAGACAGTGCTCAATACCTTTATGGCAATAGGTGGCAGAGCAGCCCAGCAAAACAGAGCAGCGTCACTGTGGTTCACGATTTCAGCCTCCTTCTTGACAAACCTCTCATCCTGGATACGAACGTTAAGGTTTTCATTCATTTATTTTCTTTCCATGTCTCCCAAATAGAAGGAGAATGGGCAGTGAAACAATCAAACTATGAACATCAGGGAAGATGAGGTCACAGTTCTGAATAGTCAGCCCTAGTCATAAAGAGAACAACTCAAGGCAGCTTCTCTGGACAATGGCATCACAAATGAATGGTAGCTTACAACTGGCGTAAGGAGCATTGTACATCCCTCCATTCACGATGGCTCAAAGCTTCTTGATCAAGGTAAATATACAGCTACGAGGACAAAATGCTAGCTCTGTCTGCCTTCTGAATTTTTCTCTTTTGAAAAGTAAATTTTCTATTTCCATTTTTTTCTTTAGTGCCCTCGCAGACTCTGGTCTGATATATAGGTATAGGTATAGATATAGATATAGATACTATAACCCTCTTATGGCATTCATGGCTTTCATAAAAGTTTATAAAACTGGGATTTAACCCAGTTCAAAACACTCTATGACTATATCAATGTCTCAACAGGTAGCATGATATAACACAATCAAAGAATCTGAAGGTACTTGACTTACATAGGGAAAATTTACAAAGCAGCACAGCCACCTCTAGGCAACCTAGGAAAACAGATATTCTGACCTTCTTTGTTCTTCCAGAGTACCTCTGTGGCCAGATTTTACCGGAGCCCAAAGAACAAGAGAGAGGCTAACAGTCTCGTGGAGGTGAGGCTCCCAAGCCAAGTGGAAATGGAAGTCCAGCATGTGACCATCCTGTACTGAGAACATCAGTCCTGAGGATCAGCTTGTCCGGTCCTCAAGCTTTGAGTATCTGATCCACAACACCCATTTGCTTTCTCACACTGTTCTCTTAACTATTTTGTTCTTGTACCTTCATTAACCTGAGTACATAGAGTTACCAGTCTCAAGTCCTTTTTTTTTTAATAAGCTGAGAGACAAAATAAATAAAGAAATCCATGCAACATTTACTGTCAGTGAACTAAGAACAGTTATATGCTATGATAAATCACATGCTAACATTTTATACCATTACCATTATATCATCCTGTATTTAATGTTTTGTGAGTTTGGTTTTTATTACTCCCAATTCTAGTTTAAGGTTCACTAGAAAAAAATATGATTACAATATATCCAGCCCCCCCCTTTTCTCTCAGTCAGTAACCTAAGTGTCTTAGGCCTTGTGAGTGGCAGTAGGCATCAGGGATAAATGTATAGTCTTTTCCCTCGGAAGCATGTTCCTGCAAAGAGTGGGAAGGTAGGCAGACCATTGAAAAAGACCAGGAAGAAGCCATAATGTAGGAAATGCAGAGTGTTGTGAAGTCTCAGAAGCATTTCATTCTGTGGGAAAGAGCAAAGGAGAAGGCTGGTGTGGACTTTAAAGGAAGGGTCACATAATGCAAAAATGGGCAGAAGCAATAGTATTAAAAAGGTCCTCAGATATAAAAAAAAAAAAAAAACTGACACATTCTGGAAACTTTAAGTAGTTTCTTGTGTCTAAATCATAAAGTAAAAGAAGTGAAGTGTTTTTTAGTTTAGTTTTGTCTTGTTTTAAGAAGGAATAGGTGGAAGGAGTCAAAATTATATAGTTTTTTATTAAATGTATAATGCACAAAACAAAGGTCTGAAGTAACTTTAAAGTCAGGGAATCTACATTTCCAGTTATCAGGGTCCCAGAACAAATACCAATTTAATAAGAGGTCATTTGTACTCTAGACATTAACTACCCAAACTGTGGTCCACCGTGTCACCCGGGAGCTTGTTAGAATCTTGGCCAGAGTTGCTGATTCAGAACCTGCATTTTTAACAAGCTCCCCAGATGATTAATAAGTACATTAAGGTTTGTAAAGCACTGGTCTGCATGTACACAACTGAAACAACCTGTTTTGATATTGTGGCAAAACAAATCAGAGGAACATGGGCCACCCTCCCAGAGAAAACCTTGGGTGTCACTGAGGTGGGGAACAGGAAAAGGATTTGAGATATGTAAATGTTAAGGAAAGATTGTTTTTCTTTATCAAGTGAAATAGGACATAATTTAACTGAACACCTTGTAGCTGAAAGTGTTGCTCTTAATTTCTGTACAATGAGTGTCTATTCTTCCATATGATTTATAGCCAACTGAATGGCAGAAAATGCCATCTTCTTTTACAGGTTCAAAAGGATCCAAAATTCAAAAGACAAATTTGTGCAAGATTATATATCAGTTTGTAAGGGCGAGAAGCCAGAGAATTCTGTGACAATAAAATTACGAGTTCTAGCCAACACATTAAAAGTTTCTAGTCTCATCCTAAGCATCTTTCTCTCTCCTTAAAAATAAAAGGGAAATTCACTTCTTTTATTAATATTAGGATAAGAACATCATGCAAATGCTAACAGAAAATTCCTCTTTTAACATGTGACTACCATTTTGTTTCTAACCAGGAAACTTCTCTCTCTCTCTCTCTCTCTCTCTCTCTCTCTCTCTCTCTCTCTCTCTCTCTCTCTCTCTTTCTCAATGTCTTGTGTAGTCCAGGCTGGTCTTCAACTCATAATGCAGCCCAAGAAGTCCATAGACTTCTGATTTTCCTGCTTCGTGTGTCCCAGGTGCTGCCACGCACAGTCAACATGGTGCTGGAGATCCACCCCAGGGCTTTGAGCATGTGAGGCAAACACTCTACCAGCTGAACCACATCCTCACCACTTCTGTACTTGAAAGGCTGCTCAGGGGCCCCCAAAATGAAGAAGTTGTGTCAGTGAGAGATAACAAAGCCATATAGCTAGCTACTTGTAGATCCCTGAATCGGGCAAGTTTCCCCTTACTTTGTTCTTACCAATATAATACCTCCTAAATATACTTTTCCCTGAGTTTTAATATAATGATGAATTTTAAAAATAGGCAACTTCCATGAGCTCAGAATAAACACATATGTGTGATTGCTTCTTAAACTTTTGCTGAGATGTGTGTCTGAAGTATGTTTGCTTATGCACAGACATACATATTCAAGTAGTTTTCATTCCATTTTAACCAGGAGACATGTATTTTGAATATGCAAGTCTCAAATCTATTAAATCTTTACAGACTGATTCTTTCCAAGTCAGAGCATATGTATTCAGGATAATGCCAAACATCAGAGCAAACTGGAACAAAGCAGCCTGTTTTCAGTGATCAAACATTGCCCCTGAAGGCTGTAATGAAAGAACCATGTGCCTTTGAAATCACCTTTTCTGTAATGCTACTTTGCTCGATAAAAACGACACATTAATATCCTTTTATAAGCTCATCCCTTGCTTGACAATTCATATAAGAAATGCTATGATCACATAGGAACAGCCGAAACGATTGGTTCTATAGACTTCCATTTCTCCTCAAAGTTGAAAATGTTTGGCAGTCAGGAAAGAGGAAGCTCCACTGTTTATAGGTTTTTCTGCTCAGTGTTCAAACACACCATGCCCCAAACTGTGCCTGTCCTTCATTCCTTTACCTCCTCATCAACCTGTCCCTGCTCAACTGACCCTGAAGATTCAGCTAACACTCGTCCTCAAAACCTCCTTACATCCAACCTAAAGAAATGTTCATTCCCTCCTGTGTAACCAGAAGTTTTCCTGTGTCCCACCCCGCCCCACAGTCACTCACACCCAAGTAAACACACAGAGGCTTATATTAATTAAAACTGCTTGGCCATTGGCTCAGGCTAACTACTAACTAGCTCTTACACTTAAACTCAGCCCATTTCTGGTAATCTATATGTCGCCATGTGTTCTGTGGCTTTACCTATATGCCATTACATGCTGCTCCCTGGATGGTGGGCTGGCATCTTCTGACTCAGCCTTCCTCTTCCCAGAATTCTCTTTGTCTGCTTATCCTGCCTATACTTCCTGCCTGGCCACTGGCCAATCAGCATTTTATTAAACCAGTGTACAAAAGCATTATCCCACAGCACTCCTGTGTTCTACTAGCACTTTGTACACACTTCCTCACAGACCTTTGGAGATTATCATCACAGCTTGAATTGGGGCAATTTCTTTTTATTATTGACATCATGTACATTTGGGGATTTATTATGATTTCCTAGAAAAAAGACAACAAGTTAGCTAAATGTACAAACCCTCCCCTCCCCCACCCCACCCCTGAGAGCTACTATATAGTTTTTGTCCGTACTAGATCCCTCGTGAATGTTTTCATTACTAACCTTTACTGTAAATGTTAACAAATTACAATGATTGTAACTGTCTTTCTACATCAGTATGTCTTACTCAAGGGTTGGTGTGAGGTGTATTTTCTCTTGATGTGTTTCCTATCAAAGAGACAAGCACATGTCAGATTACCAGGCTACTTTTTAAGGACTCTAAAGAATGTAAAGGGCAGATG